CCTCTCTCTCTCTCTCTCACACACACACACACACACACACACACATGAATAAATACACACAGAGACCCACACTTCCTGAGCTGTGCAATAGACACCCACACACAAAATAAAAGCACTCACAAAATACACACGCAACGCACACGTATTGACCCCCACGTCCTGGACTGTGCAATACACAAACAGACCCAGAATAAACACTCTCACAGAATGTAAATCCTCCCTGACTTGCACGTCCGGATGTGTAATAAACAAACACACACATCTGACTATCCACACGCACTGACTTGCATTTCCTGTCCTGGGTAATAGATACACACAAAATAAACCCCCTCAAAGATGCCTGTAAAATACAGTCAGGGTGTCTGTATATATTCACCCCTGCAGCCTGCTCTGTGCAACACACACACAGTCAGCGCACTCACAAAACATACACACTTGTCACACATGGCCTGACCCACGTAGTAGACATAGACACACACGATCAACACAAACATGCTGCCGGAACATAGACACGCACTGACCCACACATCCTGATCTGTGCAATAAACACACACGGCGACACACACACACACGGCGACACACACACACAATTAGCACAAACACAGTGGCAGAATAGTCGGATGCACTGCCTCACACAGCCAGGGCTGTTGCCAAACACTCGCACAATAAGCACAACAGATGTCAATGCACAGCCATCAAAACGCACACGATCAACCCAAAGACACACCGACCCACACGTACACCCAGGTTACACACTCCCTGACACACGTTCCAATGCACACACTCAACACACACACAAAGCAAGCACGCATTCGCTGACACAGTCACGCACTCACACACACACACACATTACAACATACACTCTCTCCCCCCAAGGCCTAGCTGTGGGCAGGCTCAAACCAAACATGATATAGTGCGTGTTGTGATTTCATAAGATTAGAAAAACCAGATGCCAGCGTCCCGTGTGATGCAACACAACTTCCCCGTTGGCACAGGGGAACGAGGGGCGGGGAATGGGGCCCAGGGCCTGTCCCTTCTAGGGGGCACCGGCTCCCATCCGGCCCCAGGGCAGGGACTGGCTGGCTCAGGGGGGCAGGGAATGGAGTGTGGGACCTGGCCCCGTGAGGGGCTCTGTGTGCGGGTATCGAGGGGCCCTCGCTGGGGAGTTGGGGCTGCGGGAGAGGGCGGCCCAGGCCCTCCGCCGGAGGCAGATCAGGGAAAAAGAAGTGAATTCCAGCTGGTGAAATGGAAAAATCCATCTCCACTAAACAGCTTCAGAGCCACTTAAGCCCTGACTCAGCAAAATCAGACCTGGAACCAACTGCCTGAGCCCCACGGG